AATCATGCCCTTGCATATGCTATGCCTGGTCTCCACCACTAAGCAGCATATCTCCAGCCCATAGTAAAGTTTCAGATGGACATGTCCCTCCCACACTTAATTTTCATCTCTGTTGGTAACAAATAGTAACTTTTTCTTCTTAAAAAAATTCTCTAGAGTTAAGGAATGAGGACTGTGAGGGATCCCCCTTCCCATTGTGCTCATTCCCAAGCTGTGCTCAGACTTCCATGGGAGCCACAAGCCACACAGAGATGAGACACAACAGACTGTGAGGCCCCACAGCGGGTGGGGCTGACATGTGAAAGCGGCAGGCTGGGTCTTAGGAATGGACAGAGTTGGTTCTACATCCCAGCTTCCTATTTAGAAGGGTTCTGGCAAGCCATTCATTGTCCTGAACCAATATGCAAAACAGGACACAATAGTTATTTTCAGAGGCTCTCACTTAATGTTAATTGTGGAGTCCTAGGTAATGAACTGGCAGTTCAGCCAAGTCTGCTGGGCCACCAGCTCCTACCTGCCAAGTGAAAATGTGCAATGCCCCCTCCTACTTTCTCTCATTTTTCTTGACTTGGGAGAGGGAGAGCTGTCACTTGTCCTAGCTGTACTTCTAGTGGTTTGATTGAAGTTAGTCTGGCCTACTCTATTGCCCCTGTAGCACCTGCCAGAGATAGGTCACCCAGACACCCACAGCCACACTCTCCTATTTTTGATTTCCACCACAGCTCCAGGGCCGTCTGATCTCTCTATCAAGTTGGATGGGATAGATTCCGTCCTCTCTTAACAGCTCTACCATTTTACCCCAACAGCAGCAGAGACCATGGACCTAGGAAGGAGTTGGCAGTTTCTCGTCCTTAACCACACAGTCCCTCTTGCTGGCTACATAGATATCGCTGGGGTGCAATGGGGGAATGGAGCTGGGATGGATTAAGCACATTTAAATGCTTGCCTGTGTTCTATGCAAAGTCACTTCTCACCATGGAGCCCCTGATGGTCTAGCACATGATATCTTGCCTTTTTTTGTGTACATGTGTGTATGTGGATTCATTTGTGTGTGCCACAGTGCACATTTGAAGGTCAGAAGGACAACATCACTTTTTACCTTGTCTGAGACAGGGATTCTATTGGCTCCACCTCAATCACCTGTAGGGGTTGTTGGGATTCTAGCTGGTCTGCTAAGCATCTGGGATTCTTGTTTGTTTGTTTGTTTTTTAAGTGGTTTCTGGGAATTCAAACTCTGGTCCTAGCACTTATATAACAAGCAAGCACTTTTATCCACTGAGTCATCTCCTCAGTCCAACACCTGGCTTTGCGCTTTATACGATTTTCTTTTTTTCTTTCCTTTCTTCCTTTCTTTCTTCCTTCCTTCCTTCCTTCCTTCCATCTCTCTTTCTCCCTCCCTTCCTCCATCCCTCATGCCTGTTTCCCCCACTCTCTCTTTCAAGGCAGGGTTTCTCTGTGTAGCCCTGGCTGCCTTAGAACTCACTCTGTAGACCAGGCTGACCTCAAACTCACAGAGATCCATCCGCCTCTGTCTCCTGAGTGTTGGATTAAAGGTATCTGCACTCCTAGAGACCTTTTCCCTCTCTGATTTCAGGCTACTTTCATGACCACTCTTCCTGCCATGCAACATGTCTTTAACACATTTAAAGGTTAGTAACATGTTTAAAACCAAGAACGGGTTTGAATTCCATAGTCCTTTCCCCTGATCCTGCTTTGTGTTTTCCCACATACTTACCTGTTTACTGCTGTTCTCTTTTGCTAAGATGCAAGTTCACAGGGGCAGCAGCCAAGAACAGTGCCTGGGATGTGGCAGAGTTCTGCAAACTCGTGCCAAACACATGCCACTTATCTTGTGTACAAACATCTCTCCATAAGAACCAGCCGAATGCAAATCATTCTTTTCTTTGTATGATAGAAAGTAGATTTGGAAGAGGTCCACTGAGCTAATGTACCACAGCACAATTTTACTCCCATCACGAAAATGGTATTAACTTGTCTCCAGAGGACAATTTTTAACAGAGCAGCTGTTTACTTTTTGTAATTTTATGAGACAACAGTGCTGCCTACTGCTCTAAGGAGACAGAGTCACTTTTTCTTTCCTTTTTTTTTTTTTACAAGTTCAATTATATAATCTAGGGAAATTACAATTGAAAATTAAGATATTGGAGAATTTACTCTCACAGAGAGTCTTGATGAGCACAGGGTTACATCTTCTTTAGGTAGTGGTATATTATTATAAAAACAATTTTGTTTTGTAAAAAAGAGTCATACTTCCTCCCTCCAGTTAATATGAAATAATGCTATTTGTAGTGTTTCCAGATTTTAGAGAAGAAAAAAAACCTTTAGTAAAAAACTTAGCAAGATAGAACTCTTGATATTATAATCCCCCGGCTATAGCTACCTAAAGGGACTTCACTCATGAAAAGAAATTACGGAAGAGGTATGGCCTTTAAAACCACCCAGCTGGTTGCTAGACAGTTACCTCCCACAGTTACATCTGTTTACAAAGAAACAACTATAGCCTTAGGAAGTTTGTGGCTATTACTGGGCCTTATTTTATATTGTAAAGCAGACTCTAGGAAAGATTTATGCAAGAGATTCCCAATTCTGTTACAATATGGAATCCTGGGGACCAACTAATCAAGGCAACTGGAACCACACAAACAGTATTTTGTTTTGTAGAGTCTCTGTGTAGGACAGTACTTGCTCTGGGAATCTTCTTGCCCCCAGATGTAGTATTAACAGTCATGAGATTTACAGTGCACTAGACAAATGATGCCACTATTTCATTGATGGATAGTGAAGCTAAGAAAAGGGGTCTGCAACACACACACACACACACACACACACACACACATACACACACACACACACACACACACACACAATGTCAAGCATGGCACAGCAGAGAATGTGAAGTTAGATATTATCACCAATTGTTCTCTCTCTCAGGAAGGTCATGCTTCCCGGTTTTCATTTTACTATTAAAATGTTTGATCTTTTAAGATTTGGTTATAAGAGTAAAGTAGTTAGCTTAGCTGTTGCTGTTTTTAAGTCCTGGCTGGGCTGAGGGTGTAGCACAGAGTATCACAGTTGACAGGTTCCAGAGAGACTCTGGGTTCAGTCCTAGCACAGAGTTCAAGGCAAGCCTGGTCTACAGCATAAGACCCTGTTTTAAAGAATGGAAAGAGAAAACACAGCATGGTGTGGTGGTGTGAGACCATGGCCCACGTACTTAACAAGACTCTGAGAAATCCTGGTAACTAACTCAAATGCTAAAGAGAAAAAGGTATGTTTTGAAACTTCAATGGTCCATGAGTTCAGAAGTCTGCAACTGACAACCTTTTAATAAAAATATTATCTTGGCAGGCCGGGCAGCGGTGGTGCATACCTTTAATCCCCACTAGAAGGGCAGAGGCGGGTGGATCTCTGAGTTTGAGGCCAGCCTAGTCTATAGAGAGAGTTCCAGGACAGCCAGGGCTACATAGAGAAACCCTATCTCTAAAATAATAAATAACAGAGGCTAGAGAAGTGGATCAGAGGTTAAGAGCACTGGCTGATCTTCCAGAGGTCCTGAGTTCAATTCCCAGCAACCACATGGTGGCTCACAACCATCTGTCATGAGATCTGGTGGCATACATGCAAGCAGGACACTGAATATATAATAAATGAATAAATCTTTTAAAAATAAAATAATAAATAAATGTAAATATTTCGGCTATTCAGAAGGAATACAGCTACCTTAGCCTGATGGTCAAAGTTCCATTTCCTGCCTCAAGCCACCATTCTTCTGCTTCTTCAGTGAGGCAGTCTGCTCTCTTTACTCAACTGCGCTAGAAGAGCTCTTGCCAGCCATGGGGCACAAGACCTGACACAGGCTCTGCGCATTGGGATCTCAGTACAGCAGAAGTGAGACTGGGTGAGTTTCACTTCACCTGCCTTCCAAGAGCTGAGTTACTGAAACAACTCTGCACAACCCTCTTTTAGGCACAGTCAGGCTCCGTAAGAATTTACTGGATCAATGGAGAAAATGAGAGTTAATTTAACAAACCCTGGATGCACTTAGTTACCAAATATGCACCAAGTATATACTAGATATCAGGCATATTGTGTTATTTTGAAGAGCTACAATTAAAGGGACAGAAAATCAATAATCTCCCACCACCTTACTTAGACTAGAGAAGAAACACTGAGTTTAGAGGGGGGTGGCTTCCTGCTTTGAAATCAGCTCTGGTGCACAGCTCCAATTCCTGAACACAAGGGTTTTCAGGTAAGAACACAGCCTCTGCCATATTCATCACACACCTCACTTTTTTTTTTCTAGATTACATTTGTATTTATTTTGGTACCGTGGAACACACAGATGCTACAGAGCAACGTGGGGATCAGAGGCCAACTTGGGGGAACTGATTCTCTCTCATTCAAATAAGATTGATCTGTAACACCTACTTTTCCTTAAGAGTTTATTATATTAACCCTAAAAAAATTCTACAAGAACATTTATCGGGAGCCTAGCAGGCAGGCATCACAGAGTGTGCTAGGAGGACACAGAGGTACAGAGACAAGCACGCAGAGTACATGCTCCCACACACCTGTGCGCACATACGGATGCATACACACACCTCACACAGCCCAAGAAAACAGGAAAATGGATTTAAAATCTAATAGAAAACAGTCTGGAAAAAATTCAGCACTTGAAAAAATTCTAGTACTCTAACAAAGTTGAGTCGTTTTAAATTCTGCATATCAGGGACTCGGGAAAAGACTGTCTGCAGGCGAGATGACAGATGGCAAGTAACTGGGGAGAAATGAAATACCTCAGTTTCGCTACACTTGAGGGCTGCCACACCTCTCCTTTTCACCTTCCTTGCTTTCTTACATAATGGGTCCTCTGCGCACACACTCGGGTTTGTGCCACCGAGGAGGACACGAGGCTGTGAGGGAAGGGGGATAAACCCCATCCCACAGCGTTATCTAACCCAAAAAAGCCAATCAACTACCTTGAGCATGCGGATTTCTCGAAGGGCGATTTTCTTTATGACAGGGTCATCTTCAGTTTCCAGAAACCTCTTGATGGCCACGATCTGCCCCGTGTCCCTGTTTCTGCACTTGAACACCACCCCGTAGGAGCCTTCTCCAATCTTCCCAATTTTTTCGTATTTCTCCATCACGGAGGAGTAAGTCTTCTTGGGAATGGACTTTCATATAGTTTTTAAACGTTGTGTATGTAATAGGTGGGCGGCGGACCGCACTCGAGCCCCATCAAGCAGGGGCTGTGGTCCAGGATCTAGAGAAAACAAGGGCGCTAGTTATAATAGAATTAGGACCAGCCAGGTGTGGACTCCACCCCCAGTAATGACATCACATCGCGGTCAAGGCTGGGAGCCTACAGGTGGCTGCCGAGTGACCCAATTTCAATTGTCTGCTTCATTCCCTCGAGCTAAACATGTAGCCATCGTCCTAAAACGAGCCGAGCTGTAAGATAATCTATCTTTTTAACGTTATGGTTCATACGATCTAAGACACTTGAGCTGGCTGGAGCACCGCGAAGGCGAAGGGCTTTCCCGGTTCTAATTTCGGGTCTCATTTCCCTCCGGAAGAAGATACCGGGCGGGCAACCGGGGCGACTGGGGCCGCCGGGACCTCCCACCCCTACTCTCGGCGCCTCTCCGCCCAGCTCGTGCACAGCCGCCTGAAGCCCGGCTGGGTCGCCGCCGCGATCCCCATGGGAACAGCACCGGCTGGGCGGGGCCGTTCTCGGCCCTGCTGTCCCCGCAGCCACCTGGCAAGGTCCCAGATCCCGCTCTGCAGGTCCCCAGGATTTAGATCGTGGAAGGCACAGCGTGGAGCGTCTGCTGGTGCACCCGGGCCCTCCTAGCAACCTGCACCCGGGCCTCCTGCTACGGTGGCCTGGTCCATACCTTACAGCGGTCAGTCCTGGGTGTCTCGCCCGTGAGCCCCTGGCGGGGTCCTGCCCGGTGCTGCAGTTTCAGAAAATGAATGAGAGAGAGGCAGTCGAGGGAGGCAGGTTGGCCTTCCCATCCATGCAGTGGGGCCTTGGCGCGGTGCAGAGCCTGCCTTGATTTCCCCAATCACCTCCTTATTGAACCTGCTAGAGCACAGCGACAGCGCAGTGGCTGGATGTAGCCTCAACACTTTGTCAGCCCTTTCATCCCTTATGCTAGGCGTCAAGGCGCGTGTGCAATGGCGTCAGGACTTCATCAGAGAAAATGTCTGCGAAACCCGGGCCAGCCCTGGCCAAGGAACGATGCAAATCTGCACAGAGCTTAGGAAGAAGCTGGGTCTGGCGTGGCGTGGCGGCCGCCTGGCAAAGGGAGTACTACGGTATAATGAGGTCCGGGGATGGACTAGTGGTGGTCTGGGACGTTCCCAGAAATCGTGTGCAAAAGCCAATCCCAATTCTTGAATTTTGTCTTCTTGGTAGCTTTGCCTTTCCCAGAATATCATACAAATGTGGTATACACTGCACAGCTTTTGAGAGTAAGCGTTTCATTTCACAGAATGAGATTCACAAACATGTTGCATTTATCTTCAGTGTCTTCCTTTTTATGGCCGGGTCGCCTTCTGTTGTATGAATGTGAAGGTGTTTGTTTATCCATGCCTGGTTGAAGAATATCTAAATTGTTTCCAGTGTGGGGTGATTATACACGAAGCCCCTATAGATGCCATGCATAGCCCTTCTCTTGGGAAAACACTTAGGAGAGGGCTGCTGGTTGTACATCAAGTTTATCTTTTGTAAGTAACCACCTAAACGTTTTCTTCTCAGGCTGTTCCATTTACCTTCCCACTAGCAAGGCTCCCATGCTGTCCCTTTGACTTCAGCCATCGAGAATGACTTGTAATGGTTTTAATATGAATCAGACTCTTATTTGCCCTCTGGGTGTGTTCTCACATCAGGCTTCTGAGAGACTTCCATAAGTTCTTTGAGATTTTTGTATAGACCACGAAATAGGGACAATATTAGTTTTTCCTAATCTGTTTGATTTTGTTTCTCTTTTCATTGGGTGAGTTCATCAGTGTGACATTGAGAGTGGCAAGACCTTTGTATGGTCGCTGAAATTGGTCTTAGACCAGTAAACGTGATACTGGCTTTTAAATTATTATTATTATTATTATTATTATTATTATTATTATTATTATTAAGCTTGCTGTAGGCAGCCTCTAAGAGGACACTTAAGGACCCTGCCTCTTGACAGTTGTGTCCATCCTTATGGACTCTCCTCCCCAGGAGCAGGCCTTCTTAAGTTTTACCCACTTTGTCCCCTTTTCCCAAAAGATTTTTTTTTTTTAACCTAGCCTAGCTATACAGGAAGTTTACAAATTAGACATTTTCTAAAATTAAATCATAGAGAAATTCATTTTAAATTTAAATTATTCTTTGAGAATCAGGTATGGTGGCATGTTCTTCTAAACCCAACACTTCGGGGCTAACGGCAGGAGGATCAGGAGTTTAAAGTCATCTTCCTAGATGACAGGCAGTTCAAGCCAGCCCAAGGCTGCGTGAGATCCTGTCTCAAAACTCCCCACCCTACACACCACACCACCACACCAATTCTTCAGTGTCTATATAATTTTACAATTTATTTAGGACAAAATGGACATGCTTATTTTCACACAACAAACATTTAATGCTGCAAGAGTATCTTCAACACTTTTTTCAGAGTTGATTAATACCTGGATTTTACCGGATTCAGCACCGAGACAGTGTTTTGCCTAGCTGTGTGCTATAGGACAGCAGAAGTATGTTAGGGCCATTTCAAAAATTCTTGGAAAATTTGTCTAAATGCCAAGTTAAAATTCATTTAATGGCATTTAAAAAAATGAAACTCAGGCCAGTAATTCAAACAGTGATTTAAAAAAAAATGTTCTAACAATGCAAGCTGGTGAGATATTAATTGGCTACTTAAAGGCCAAAGAACTACAGCAAAGTATTCAAAGGTTTTTTTTTCCCCACAATTAAACTGTCAAATCCTTACAGAAAAAGCGCTGTGCTCATAACACACAAGAGTCCTAAAGTGAGTACAAGTTTTGGTTCCTGCTGAGCAGAACAAAGGTGCTCATGATGCATGCACACTGTGTGTGCAGAACATTGATCATGTCAATGAAATGACATGATCCACCACAGTTGAGCCTCTCAGAGACACCTGGGATCTGTTACTTGTTTGATTTCCAATTAACCTTTGGTGGTCATGCATTCAGAAATCTTTCATCATTCCCAATCTTTTTCTTGACACCACCTAGTTCAGTTACACAACCCACCACCTGAGAGGTCATGTGTATGTCTATCTAGTGACTTAATTTTAAGGACTCAAACATGATCAAGCGATAGAATGCCACTTATGAGACTATGACTTCTACATTGGGTGTCCTCACTCACCTGCTCTGAAGAAAGCTGGGTGAGGTGTTGCAAGTGAAACATGGAAAGGAACTGACAGGCCAAGAGGCAGAGAAGAGCTGGGGGGCCTATGACAATCATTCTTGAGACAGTAAATCCTATCGGCAACCCCGTGAGTGAGCTGGAAGGTGTCTCCAGACCACCACTGACAACTTCAACCGGTGAAACCTCAAGCCAGAAGACCTGAGGGTTCACCTGAGCCACACCAGGATACCTAGACTTAAAACCTGTGTGAAAAATGTGCCTTGTTGAGTTTGGAATAGTTCGTTGAGTGTAAATAGAACTAACATTTTATGATATTGAGAGGTGCTCTTGAGTTCCTCTTTCCATAGATCACTTTTTGTTTTTAAATCACAAATGAGCACCGAATTTATCAGAATTTCCTCCATCTATTCCTTTTCCCATGTTCATGTGTATGTGGTATGTGTATGCATGTTTGTATTGTGCAGGTACATGTTTGTGAATGCATGTGGAGGCCTGAGGTTGAAATCAGAAATCATCTTCCGTAGCTCTTTGATCTTATTCTTCGAAGCAGGATCTGTGATTAAACCAGGAATTCAGTCACATGGCTAGTCTCCCTAGCCAGCTTGCTCCACCTTCCAAGGCTGGGATTACAGGGAGGCTGCCAAGATCACCTAGCATTTATGTGGTTTCTGGGGATCCTAACGGGTCTCCATGCTTCCTGGCAAGCACTTTAACCACTAAACTATCTTTCACCCCCATCTTTGAGATAACTGTATGATTTTTCTTTATTAAGTCTGTTGACACAATGAATTATATGGATTTGGAAAATGTTGAACCAACCTTTCAGTCCTGGGGAAACCCACCTCACTTATGCTCTGCCATTATGATATATTGCTGGATGAGAGCAGTAATATGTAATTTTTGTTGATATATATATTTAAATATTTATTCAATTTTATTTTATGTGTTCGTGTTTTAACTGTATGTATATATATGCACCACATTCTTGGTCCCCAAGGAAGTTAGAAGAGGGCATCGGATCCCCTGAAACTGGAGATACAGATGCTTGTGAGCAGCATTAGGTGGGTGCTGGGACTGGAGCTTGGGTTCTCTGCAAGAGCAGCTAGAGCTTTTAACTGCCAAGCCGACTCTCTAGCCCCATTGGCAGACATTCTTATTTTGAGATATATTGATCTGTAGTTTCCTTTGTCTAGTGAAGGTGATTCACAAATGATTTGGAAAATGTTTCCTGCTCCTATTATATATCCAAGAGATATTTACTTTTGATCAATACTATGAATTCCTTAAGAGTGTGGTAAAATTTGGCAGTAACTTCACTCAGGACAGGGGTTTTCCTTGTTGAAATAGTTGTAACTACAAATTCTATTTCTTTAAGGAATTAGAGGACTATTAAAGATACCCATTTCTTCCTGAGAGAGCTCTGTTTGCTTCTTTTATTCAAGGAATTTGACCATTCCACCTATATGGATTTATTCAATTTGGATGTTCATCTTTACCACATTACACTGTTGTCTGCCAGATTTATAGTGAAGCTCTCTTCCTGGCTTTGTTTTGTTTGTAAGGGTCCGGGTCTCACTGTGGTGCCCAGACTAACCTTGACATTTATGATCCTTCTGCCTTAGTTTTCAGAGTACTAAGATTTTACAGGCTTGTGATGGCCATCACGCCAGGCTATGTTTCATTCTTGATATTGGTAATTGTTTTCCTTGATCAGGTTGGTTTATTGATTTTATTGGT